GGCACAAAGATGTAGAGAAGAAAGGTGAATGGAGAGGTAAACACAGGCAGGAAGTGAGAAGACTGCTGCTATGTTGTGGGGATTGTAATCAATGTTACCAACAAAATATGTATGAGTTGTTGAATGGAAAACCAATTTGCTTTGTAAACTTTCACCCAAATCACAATAAAAAGTTAAAACAAAACAAAACAAAAATAGGCATTGAAACCCTATGGAACACAGTTCTACCCTGACACATAGGGGTCACCATACGTTGGTGATGAATGATGGCAACTTGTCATGGTAGGAACAATCCAGTTGAGCGGGTGAAGAGATTCCCGTTGGATAAGAATCCACCAAAGAGGAGAGAAGTTCCAGACACAGTAGAAGGAAGGTCGTAGACAGTACAAGGATGGCTCCTTTATCTTAACAGGAGGGAAGAAGGAATGGATGGCGCATATTGAGGCAGGCATTTTGCATTTTGTAAGCAAGAAGATGAGGGAATTTCTACCCATAGTGTCCCCCTCCAGGGAATTATGATATATGGTCATTTTGCAGAAAGTGATTTATGAAGGTAGGTGGCACAAAGAGGTAGGGTTGAATGTTTGAAGAGAAAATTTGAAACAATCATTGCTGAGCATGAGAATGTAAGCTCATCTGAGAAAAATAACAGCTTTCTTGGGCAGTGTTGAGAGTTGAACTTCTTGATATTTATGAATTTAAAATGATACCAATTTTTCCATGATATCACTCTACTTCTAGAGGTCAGGCAGGAGAAAGCATATTTGATCCTGAGTCATATGATAGCCCCATAGGTATTAAGAAATGACAGAAGGATAAAGGACTTTGGGGTAAAGCAGGAGTGTTTTAAAAATGATGGACTATATAATCCATGGGAGCTCTGGTAGCATAGTGGTTAAGGCACTTGATTGCTAACCAGAAGGCTGGCAGTTCAAAACCACCAGCCACTCCTTGGAAGGAAGGTTGGGCAATCTACTTCCGTAGTGATACTGCCTCAGAAACTCAAGGAGGGGTTGCTGTGAGTCGGGTCCGACTCGATGGCACATAACAACAACAACATATAATCCATTCTGGGGAAGGGATGGAAAAAAGGAATAAGCTTTAGGGTTGCAGGAAAGCAGAGGGCACAATGGGCTGGAGAAGAGGTTGTGGGCAGAATGGGATGCTGGGATCCCACTGTAGTGGAGGAAGAGCAGTGAGAGTGGGAGAATGTTAAGGATGTTAAGACACTGAGCCAGTGACAAACGGATTTATCTCCACTTCCTCATCTACTTCCTTAGCTTATTCCAATCTGTTACCAACTTCCATCCAATACCTTTCACTAAAGTCTCAGATGACTTCCATGTTTTCATATTCAAGAAATATTTCCTAATCTCCATTTAACTTGATTGCTTAGTATTATATAATGTTGTTAGCCTTCACTATTCTTGAAATTATCTCTTTCATTGGCTTCCAAGACAACATCCTCTTCTTGTTTTTTCCAAACTCCTCTGGTTGCTATTTGTTGGCTTTCTCTGGAAGTCCATCTGCCTTTTCTGTCCACGATATGTTGGAGTTTCTTAAGGTGAGGCCCTCAGCCTTCTTCTCTTCTCTATCCTCTCCCTATATTCTCTCATCTGTTCCTCCTGGTTTATATTACTACTCATCATTCTAGAAGTTTCTTTTGAGCTTTAGGCCAAGAAATAAACTCTTATTAGTCATTTCCACTTGGATGTCTCAGAGACTTTTCAAACTTAGCTGAATTCATAGCATATCCTCCAATCTGGTCCTTTCCCAGTGTTCCCACTTCAGTGAATGGCAATGCCATATACCTGCTTAGGGAAGTCAGAACCCTCTACATCCAACCTCTTACTCCTGTCAATTTTACCTCCTAATATCTTTAGACTCCATTCATGTCTCTACTTCCACTATTAGGTTCCTGCTCCAATGTCTATCATCTCTTGTCTAGATTACTGCTAGCCTTCCAATGGTCTCTTATCATTCTCCCTGGCTGCTCTCCAATCTGTTCTCCACACTAAAGCCCATAATTTTAGTTCTCCCAAAATACAAATCTCATCATATAGCCCCTTTACTTAAAACCTTTCAATTACTTCCACTCTTCACTGCCCTTGAATAAATACCAAAACCTGTTGTGTGGTCCACAAGAGCTGGCCCAGTGCAGCCTCTGCATCCACTCTAGACACACTAGGCCTTTGCCTAGTGCAGCAGCTTTGCCCTGCCTCCTCCTCCTCCTCAGTTTCCGAGCTCAGGCATTGCTCCCTCTGGGAAGCCCTCCAGACTCCCCTGTCTGGGTCAGGATCCCCCACTACTTCACTTCATGAAATGGTGTGCCTTCCCTTCTTGGCTCTTACCTTGCTTTGGGACTACCTATTCACCAGGTGGTGATTTGATCAATGTGTTTCTTCTTTGACTAGCCTCTGAGCTCTCCGAGAGCAGAAACCACATATAGTTTTGCTCATCTTGTGTCTCCCTCACTGAGCAAACTACCGGGCTGCTGGTGGTGCTCAGAAAATTGTTATTTGGAACGATAGGACTTAAGCAGAAAGGAACCTTAGAAGTCACCCATTTTCTGTCATCTTAAAGTTGAAAAATGGGGGCCTAGTGAGGTGCCTGATCACTTATACGTGGCCACACAGCTAGTTAGTGGTGAAGCTGGAGTGAGAGTCCTGCTCTCGTTCTGGTCCAGGATCTTCTCACTTCAACCTACAAACTATCAAGTTTTCAACATAAACACTCCGGCAGTGCTCTTGTGGGGCCCCAGGTGGTGTAAACATGCTCAGTTGCTAACCAAAAGGGTGGCAGTGTGAGTCACCCAGAGATGTCTCAAAAAGCCTCGTGTTCTACTGAAAAATGAGCCACGGAAAACTCTGCAGAGCACAGTTGCACCTTGACACCCGTGGGGTGGCCATGAGTTAGAAAAGACTTGTTGGCAACTGGTAACATCCTCTTACTTATGGATTTTTTGTTTTAAAATTAAAAATAAAAGCTGTTCATGCTTAAACTGTCCTTGTGCTATTCAACATCAAACACTTGGTAGCAGATAAAGGAGCATATTCTGGAGTAAGGGGACAATCGGTTTAAGGATACGCCCCTGCCCCTCACCCTACCAACTTGTAGCAATGACGAGGATGCCCAGTAGGACCCCGCCCCCAGCCCCCAGCCCCCAGCCACAATCCAGCTCACCGTGCCCCAAGCTTACTCTCTAGAAGTTGTGAACTCATCAGAGAAAGTTGCGAATTTCATTTCTCCTACTGCCGCAGATAAATAATCGATTTGTAAACTGTTAGACCAGAGGACCTAAAGTGCTTGTACTATTTTGAGTAGCTGTTTTTGTCCTGCAATAAGATTTCCTGTGTGCTAATTGGGAGCTGGAGCTCTGGTAGCATAGTGGCTAAGGCACTTGACTGCTAACCAGAAGGCTGGCGGTTCAAACCCACCAGCCACTACTCGGAAGGAGGATGGGGCAATCTACTCCCGTAGTGATACTGCCTCGGAAACCCAAGGAGGGGTTGCTAGGAGTCGGCTCTGACTCCATGGCACATAACAACAACAACAATTGGGAGCTCTGGTGGCATAGTGCCTAAGGCATTTGATTGCTAACCAGAAGGCAGGCGGTTCAAATCAGCAGCCACTCCTCAGAAGGAAGACTGAGCAATCTACTTCCGTAGAGATACCACCTCTGAAACCCCAGGAGGGGTCGTTAGGAGTCGGAGCCGACTTGCGGGCAGTTTGCTTTTTTTTGGTATGTGCTGATTAAAAGCACGGGGGCCCTCTGGTGGTGATTTATAGAAAAATCTTACAGGAAGGAGAGATTCGCTTAGTTGGTTGCTGTGTGTCCACGAGTGGATTTCAACTCACAGCGACCCCACAGGACAGAGTACGACTGCCCCCATAGGGTTCCCAAGGCTCCAGTGTTTACAGGAGCAGATCGCCAGTTCTTCTTTCCTGCCGAGCCTATGCTAGGTTCGAACTGCATTCCTTTCAGTTATCAGTCAGTCAAGTGCCTGCTTAATCTCGCACCACTAGATCTCCTTTCAGGTGAAGAGAATTCTCACTCAGTGCCTGTATTCCATTCCCTTGACTCCACAAGCCATTCCCCAAATCAACCATTAAGAGTAAACCAGGGCATTGTAAACCATCTGAACAAGAAGGCATTGCTGGAGCAACGCATTGCCTTGGTCAGGCTCCAAAACACCGTGACTGGTGGTGATCACAGCCGGTGGACCGAGTCTGACCCTGAGGAGGGGCAGGAGACAGTCTTCAATTTGCTCCCCTCAGTGAGTGCACCAAGGCCCCCCGGGGAGGGGCAGAAGAACTATGCTTAATATGGCATTTTACAGTTCACTTACGTAACACGGTGCTATCGGAATAGTGTGGAGGGAGGGGAGCTCCGTGCCAGCAGAAGGGCTCTGTGTGTGTGTGTGTGTGTGTGTGTGTGTGTGTGTGTGTGGTGGGGGGAAGCTGGAACCAGGAGAATGGTGAATAAGCGGCTGGTGGCAACACAAGGAAATTATTCAGATCTCAGCCGTTGAAGGAGCTAGACAGGTGTGAGCCAATTAGAAGAATGGGGGTAGAGAGAAGAGAGTGGACGGTGTGCAAAGGATATTTGTAAATGATCAAACTGTCTCATTAAGCAGAAGTTCAGATAATCCAAGCAGCTTGTGCCTGGGGAGGGTGAAGGCCCAGGCAAGCAGGAGAGAGAGGGCTGAGGAACAGCAGCTACCAGGGAACCTGGCCTGTGGAGGTCAGGCTGCAAGGGCAGGCAGGCAGGTGGACAGGGTGGCATCTAAGGCACTTCTGGATTTCTCAGACCTTTTCTCTCATAATATCTCTGCCTGCTTTTCAGTAAATATTTTTTATTGCCCCTTATTTTATTCCGTTTCATATTATGTTTAGTTCTGTGTTTAATTTTCTTTGCATAGAATATAAAGGCGTAAGGTTTTATGCCTTATAAATTTTTTTTAAAAATTGGCAGTATTTTTAAATATTAGGAAATTTATGTGTGAAAAAGTTAAAAAAAGTCACCAAGAGATGAAGATTGTTTAATAATTACTTTTTTTATGGAAATCCATTCACATTTGCCTGTACTGTTACACGTATCACCACTTAGACATCCACACACCACTAGGAACATGAGAAATTACAAAAGAGAGAGGGACTTTTAAAACCACATTTAATTTTCAATACAAAATCTGTTGCACGATTACAGAAGTGGCCGCTCGTGTACAGATAAATTCAGCACCTGCTATTGTGCAACAGTACAAACTTTCAGCACTCCCCAAAACACTGGCAAATTGAAAGGAACTTTTATCTTTATGCTCTCTGATGCAAAGCAAGCCTGTTTTGTCTTTTTGGATTTCCAATGGATAGGTTGATCTGGGAAAAGCGAATAGGGAGACCTGGAAGTATTTAGGGCCATCTTTACCTGGAATTACTACAAAGTGTGCTTTACCTAAATATATGAAAGCTGCCAGGTGATTACACCTATTGTGTCTTATAGAAAAAGATTTCCACTTCAGAAACCAGCTGTCACTATGTAGAATAGTTCACTATATCAGTTTCACAGCAAAACGGGGAAAATAAACCAACAAAAAAAAGCAAACCCAAAAGGTATTTAAGTAGATGCTTTCCAATCCCATGCACTCCGTTAACTAGCTTACTTCCTATACAGTACAGCATAAACATTGTTTGCATGTTTATTTGTATGTAACACCTATAAGCAAATAGCATCTACACTTTAAGTGTATTTACAAATTCAACAAAATATCTACATATAAAAAGCTTTACTTAAAATTAAACTTGATGCAAGTTATGAGAAACCAATTTATTGGCAAATGAAACTGAGCATTTCTTCAACCATAGGTTGGTATAGAATTTCATATTTGGAGGTAAACCATTGGATATATAGCATTCATGAATATGATAGACTATACATATATTTATTTTTGAAATTGCGGCTGTAATCATTTTGACTGTTGGCCTTGTTATCACTTGTCAGATTTCTTAGATCTGGAATGTGTAAAAGCAATTTGCATACACATTGTTTAATGCTGCAGAGAGTTCCAAAAGCTACCACCTAGGTAAAGATTTAGAGAATAATTTACTACTGTCGGCATGCTGTTGTATTTTTTTGTTTTTGGAATAACTGAAAATTTTGTTTTCTACCAAGTTGGCATCTTTCTTACTGAATTTGACTTGTTTTAATGGAAACCATAAAATCATCATGTGTTCCAGATGGTGATAAAGCTTTTCTTCTTATGTTTATGGAAAAAAAAATGCTCCTTAAAATAAATTGTCTTCTTGTTATTATTATTGTTTTCACATTTCCTTTTTTCAGCATTGCAGTTTTCATTACCTTTGCTTTTTAAAAGTTACTTCTAGACCATGCCAGTAATCTAGGACTTCGGGCTGACTGTACTGGCTAATACAGAAGGTAGGCTGTCATGGAATGTTTATTGGCTGAAGGCACTGCATGTATCTTGCCTGTGTCTTCTGGAATAATTTTTGAAACTGAATTTTAGTTTCCAATTCCTTCAGGATGGCACAAGTGCCAAACTGCAATGCACATTGTTTATGCCTGGAGACAATCAGACATCGAGATGATGTAAAAAGTCCAACATTGTGCTGCTGTCATATCTGGCAGATTAAGAAGGCTACGAAGTAACAGGAGCCAAGAGCAGGTAACAGAGTCTCAGTAAGCATCAGCAAATGCAACTGTCATAATTAACTCATTTAGCAAGTATATACTGTACATACGGTTCCTAACAGTCTCCCAAAAAGACTACAGCTAGACATAAAGTCACCAATTGCACAACAATGTCCACAAAGACATTGAAGTTCTAGAAAATACTACAGTAACACTCTTGACAATGAAAACGGAATTCATATATAGGGGTTCAGCAGAGGACAGTATATCAACAAAGTATCAAACCATGTATGTCCTTTAAATGTGTAGCATTTTTCATGCATCATATTGAACTGTATCCGTAAGAGGAAATAACATGATCTGCTGCTGATGATATATTATTTGACCAGTTCTGAGGAAATCAGGAATACCCATATTGAACAAAAAAAGTATGCATTTTGTATCCCAGTTCACGTTAACATGTCATTTAACTTTCTTGCTCTAATTGTTCTCATAATAATAACATACAGTAGAAAATATATTTTCTGCCTATATGTTCACAGTATGAGAAGACTGACAACCAAGTGCTTAAGATAAACATTCTAGAGAAATGGGACATTGGCAAAGAGCTTAAAAATTAAACAAAGGAATTCATGGCGTTGACGGGAGAGGGCGCCTCTGAGCTTTCATTTCCTTCAGCTGGTTCCTTCTCTTTCTTACCGCTGTATTGTCCTATAAAGGAGCCATCTTCGTTGAACTGGCCGTTCACCCCCTCTCCATAGTCAACTAAGCTATCATCACTGTCTTCCTTTTTCACAGTTCTGTCTGAAGGTGTTCGACTTCCTTTTTTTAAAGGCTTGTGGTCTTCTGCATCACTGGAAAAAGAGAAAACATTTTTGTTAAGACTGGCATTTAGGTAAGGCTTTTTGTTTGTAAAGATCATGCATGCAAATCATGATAAAGCGCATGGAGTCTTGGGCTCCTCCCACCATATCTAATTGTACGTTGACTCCAATTACTAGAATATGGTTGGGATGAAAATCAGGTGCAGAAATGGTTTAATCATGAAGTCTTCAGGAGAGTGGATGGCTTCTTATTGCACATGTCAATTTTGGTGACAGATTCTGACTTGTGATTTGAAAGCAATTCAGAAATAATCACAAGTATTATAAAAGGAAGAATTGGAAAAAGTTGAAAATAATCACTATTTTGAATTCAAAAGGAGGTAACAGCTTATGGCAAGAAGAGAAGTTAGTATGTTAAACTGCTTAATGTCTCTGATTCCTTGAGAATGAATGGAAAATGATTTTGGTTAAATATGAAATATGGATTATTTTTTTCCCCTGAGCCAGAAGGTGAAGCAAAATCCTGCATTTCAAATAATTTTGTTATTGAGTGCAGGCCAGACTTACAAACTTCAACCTTACCTTTCAAGAGACCTACAAATTCCATTAAAAGGATGCAGAAGAAACAAATGAAAATAGCCTAAGAAGAAAAGCAAAATCCTTATACTGATAGTATACAATATATATATATATATATATATATGTTCTTTTTTCTGAAAGAATTTTAGTTAATAGGTAAAGATTCATTAATTTGGAAAGAGACACAATTTGGTTTAAAAGCCCTGGATTTGGACAACTAGTGAATGTCAGTATATTCTAAATATGTAAGTGGTCAAACAAACAAACAAACACCATCCTTTCTTGCACTCATCTTTGCTTCTTGACTCCCTTCTCTCATGTGTGTATGCAGCCTAGTTATGTTGGCCAGGAATCTGAGGGGTATAATTTAATAAAACCTTATAGGATGCTTTTTCCCCCCTTATTTATTTGTTGAGTCCTCTAAGCCAATCACAGGAAGCCAAAGAGGAATCACTATGTTTTAGAACATTCACCTGTGTGGTGATGTAACCAGGTATGCACACTCAGCTATTATTTAAAGGTAACATTCAGTAAAAAAGAAAATTAAAAAAAAAAAAAGACAATGGCAGAGTCCAATATTTTATTTTCTGTCATATAACAAAAAAAGCCAGGCAAAATAACAAACATACACAATATTAGTAAAAAAAATAAAAAGGCTTAACATAAAAAATAGGTTGCTTTAGCTTTAGTAGTTCACCCACCAATTTGTGCTTGGACTTTATTGTTCCTTCCCTTTCAGACAGTGACTTTTTTCTAGCCAAGATACAAACATTTCAAGTTACACAAATATTTTAGCTATTTTTTTTCAGTAATTCATAGTAGGGTTTTCAATTTTTCTCCAAGGAGAAAATCTCAAGACTAGAAAATAATGCTAACTTAATACTACACTGATGTATGATGTTAAGAATGAACTGGTTCAGTGATACACAAGTTCTTGTCACAAGATGAATAAACAGTATTACCTTCACGGCTAGTGAACACCTGGGGAGGTATCACAGCATCTTGTGGTGGTCCGTGTTTGGGACGTTTCAAGGGACATAGCATACAGTGTCCATCCTGTTAGAAGAATTGCTTACATAACATCTATGAAATGTAATCACTGTCTTCTAGGCTTTCCTTGAATAATTCTTGTGAAATATTGCTCATGACTTGAGGAAGGAGCTAATTCTGCTGAAGTGTTCAATAATGAATATAGAATTTTGTCACCTGGATCCCAATAATTAGTCATAATCTGTTTTGTAGAACTACTATCCCAAGGGACACATTATAGGAAATTCTAGTCAACGGCATTTCTTTGACCCAGCCCTCTATCTATCCATCCATCCATCCATCCATCCATCCAATAATTCTTCATTGAGTGCCTACTCTAAGACAGGTATTGTTCTAGGCACTGGGAATACAGCAGCAAACAAGACAGTTCAAAACCCCTGACTTCATTGAGCTTACATTCTAATGGGGGAAAAGACAGACAATAAATAATCAACATAATAAAAAATTAGTTTTATAGACTGTTAGGAAGTGATTAGTGCTATGCAAAATATAGAGGTGAGAAAAGAGGACTGAAGGTGTCAGGAGGGAATGATGGAGGGTTGGAATTAAAACTGGATGCTCAGGGAAAGCCTCATTAAGAAGTGACATCTGATCAAAGACTTAAAAGAGTTGAGTTATCCGGGTGGATAGCTGGAGGGAGCATGATCCTGGCAGGGAGAAAGCAGTGCAAATGCCCTGAGGTAAGAGGAAGCCTGGCATGCTCAAAGCATGGAAAGAGCTTGGTTGGAACTGAACAATGAGGGACTGTAGTAGGAGTTAAGACAAGAAAGGTAATGGGGCTAGATCAAGGCCTTGTAGGGCATTGCAAGGATTCTGCCTTAGCTCTGAATCCAGTGGAAGCCACTAGAGGTCTTCCATAGATAAGCATCATGATCTGACTTGACATTTTAAGAGGGTTAGTCTGTCATCAGTGTTGGGAATAGTCTCTAGAAGGCAGATCTGTAAACTACAGCCAGGTTGGGTCCGACTCAGTCAATTACATAGTAGCTAAGCCTACTTTTGCACTATAACAGCAGAATTGAGTAGTTTTAGCAGAGACTTTATGGATCATAAAGTACAAAACATTTACAAGAAGTGTTTGCTGACCTCTATTCCAGAAGTTCAAGAAAGATTACTACAACAACTCAGGAGTGATTTGGACCAGAGTAGAAGAGCTGAGTTGGTCAGATTATGGATGTATTTTGAAGGTAGAGCCAACAGGATTTTCTGATGGATTGGATGTGGAATGATAGAGAAAAAGGAAAAACAAGGATGAAGCCAATATTTTTGGCCTGAAAACTTCTTAGCCATAACCAACACCTTGAGGGAATGAGTCCCTGGGCCTGCAGACTCAGGGCCATAGTCGCAGGGGACATCAAGTTTGGCTGGCATAAAAGTCCATAAAGAAAATGTTCTACATCCTACTTGGTGAGGAGTCACTAGGTCCTTAAAAGCTTATGAGCAGCCATCTAAGGCGAAACTATTGTTCACTTCTTGTCTGGAGCAAAGAAGAGTGAAGAAAATCAAAGATGCAAGGAAATACTTAGTCCATGGGACTAGCGGGCCACAGGAACCTCAGCTTCCATGACCCTGAGACCAAAAGAACTAGATGGTGCCCAGCTACCACTGCCAACCACTGTAAAAGGGGTCACAATAGGAGATCCCGGATAGAGTGGGAGAAATATGTGGAACAAAACTCAAAATAATAACAAAGACCAGGCTTACTGGCCTGACAGACACTGGAAGAACCCCCAAGACTATGGCCTTTAGTCATTTTTCAAGCCTGGAACTGAACTCACCTCCATGGCTCAACTTTCACCCAACAACAGACAGGTCTACGAGGTGAACAACACCACCAGGGAGGCATGCACTCCTTAGCACAGTTAACAGCAAGCGATCAGAGAGGCAGCATTTGCCCAGGGATAAAATGCAGCAGGAAAGAGGGAGGGGAAGAACAGAAAGGGGACAAAGGGAAATGGCAACCCCAGGCAGGGAGAAGGAGCAGTGTGGGACTGCAACCAATGTCACGAGACAAAATGTGTGTGAACTCTTGAAGGGAGAGCCAATTTGCTCTGTAACTTTTCACCCAAATCATAATAAAAAAGAAAAAAAAAGAAAAAAAGTTAAGAAAGATTTTTGGTCTGAGCAAGGGAAAGGATGGAATTGAGATTTATGGGAAAGAAGTTTATAGTTCAGTTTTAGACATGTTAAGTTTGACATGCCTCTCAGAGGGACCATTTCTCCAATCATTCTCTGAGGCTAGAACACATTGATATATACACCCAATAAGAACACTTTGAGAAAGGAGAATTATAGGCTAATCTCATTCATAAATATGTTGTTGTTATGTGCCATTGAGTCAGATCTGACTCATAGCGACCCCTCCTTGGGTTTCCAAGGCAGTATCACTACAGAAGTAGATTGCCCAACCTTCCTTCCGAGGAGTGGCTGGTGGGTTTGAACCTCCAACCTTCTGGTTAGCAATTAAGTGCCTTAGGCACTATACCACTAGAGCTCCTATTTATAAATATAGACCAAAAAAATAAATAAATAAAAAATCTGAAACAAATGAAAAGGAAATAAATTTAGCTATCTACTAAAAAGATAATATATCATCACCATGTTAGGTTTATTCCAGAATTGCAAGTATAACAACAATAACTAATCCATGTAATGTACCATATTAACAGAAGAAAAGAGACAAATCATGTGATCAACACCATAGATTTACAAAGAGGCATATGGCTAATTCCAACATCCATTTGTGATAAAAAATTTTAACACAGTAGGAATAGAAAATAAATCTGTTATTCTGATTGAGGTATCTATAAGAAATCTAGAGTAAACCCATCTTTGATGGTGAAAATGTTGAAAACTTTCTGCTTGGATAAGAAATAATAGTAGGGTTGGCTGTTATCACCACTTCTGATCAACAGTATTTTGAAAATACTAAGCAGTGTGGTAAGTAAAAGAGACAAAAGGCATAAGTGTGAAAAAGAAACTGTCGTGATTAATAATTGATATAACTGTGCATGTAAAAAATCCAAAAGAATCTTCAGGCAAGTATTAGAACTAATAAGAGAGCTTATTATTGTTGCTTGATATAATATTAGCATAAAAACCAGTCATATACTATGTATTTGCAAAAAAGTTAAAAAAGAAAATTTAAAAAAATTATTCCCATTATGAAAGCATAAACATGTGATATGGGAATAAATCTAACAAAAAAAAAAAAAATGTGTAGGAAAGGAGCCACCAGAATGGAAATACTGAGAATGTTCATGCATTGGGAAGAATGTAACCAGTGCCACTGGAAACATGTGTAGAGATTGTTGAATGGGAAGCTAAACTGCTGTGCAAACTTTCACTGAAAACACAATATTAAAAAAAAAAAAAAAAGATGTGTAAGACCTCTATGAAAA